AGGTCGTCCAAAAAACCATACTAAGTAAAATCGAGAAAAAGCACGTGTTTCCTGACACGTTATAACAATATAAACGTACCCGCGCAACGATCTTGGATCATAAAACGAACATCAATAATTTTGCCGCATAAAAAGAAGTCTCGCGAACAGCGTAACAACTCGTGGTTTCATTTTTTTGTCCACGTCAGTCTTCCTCGAGATCATTATCGAGGAAGAATCAGCGCGATGCATCGCTTGGTCGCGCGGTGCAGCGCGTGCGATGCACGCGTGCGCAGGCATGCGCTTACGACCGCGAAGAGGTGTAACGACGCAGCTCGTAGACGTTCATCTCGCTGACAGCTACGTAGGCATGCATTATGCACGTCCATATGCATTTACAGAGCATCACATGCCGCACAAGTGCGAGCAGCTCCTCCCACAGTAAATGTAACGCCGTCCCGACCAATCGAGAGGGAACGGTAGTCGTTTTGCCCCTTCCGTCAGACGTCGACGACGCCGCAGCCGCATGTCATAAATTACGGGCGCGGGTCCAGCTATGCTGGAGATTTTAAACAGAAGATGAGGAATGCTCGTCACTCTCGTTCGATGATCGATGGAAGGGAAGATAGGCCACTGTAGCTTTAAATCTACGAAAATTTGAACCTCGAAACTTCTGAACTTGTCCTCCATTTCTTCTTCATTGTGGTGGTAGCTTGAATAGAAGTCAAAATATCCTTTGTGCTCTACTATCGATACTACCTCTCCTCGCACGCACAATGTTTGCGAACGGGTATTTGCGTTGTCTCTCCCAAATTCTTGCCTTGACGTAGGTCAGTTACCGCTAAAAATTGTCACATTCAAGTCGAGTCCAGCTCGATCTCCCGCGGTCGTTAATCGTTCACGCCTCGCAAGTGCACGTTTGGCCTCGATTTTTTCCTCCAAGTTGCGGTTTCCTTTTCGCTCGTCAAAGAGGCGTTTTCGTAACGAGACACGGAGCACCAGGATCTACGAAAGTCGAAGTCGTGCGGTCGACCAGACCCTGGGTCCCAGAACTGGACGATCCACATCGAAACGGTTAACCAACGATGCCATTAAAGGAAGATTTAGAGCGAGCGTTCCAGTAAGGTGCCGCGAGAAGCGCAATAACACTGCGGGCAGGATTCGACGATCGACTCTAAACAGGATCGGGACACCCGTGCATCGGTGGTCGAACTCGAGAAGGTGTTACGATACGGTGATTGGCACACCGATATTTCAATCCGTCGATTCCACGTAGCCTTAAACCCTTTACCACGCGAAAAATCGCCGAGTTTGCAATGTCCGCTGACCCAAATGTCTCCCCGTTTCGATGGAACAGAAAAGATGGCGAAGTCGTTGCAGAACTCTTCTTGCTAAGTTTCTATTATAGTTTGACGAGACACTCTGACAGAATACAAGAACGGATGATAACATACGTACAGAATTTTGTAGCTACTATTTTTGCATAAAGTTCTTTTATAAATTTTGCTTAAAGTGCCTAAATTTTCTCTGAGTAGTATAACAAGAAACATCGTTCATCAGCTTTCGACGCATTCACGAGGAACTCTTACCCAGCGCTGCACTCGCGAACCGTCCACTTCTTGTGTACGATGTTGTCAACGACTTTTCTCACCGCGCACCGCCTTAATTTCGCTTGTCGTGGGCCTTTCGTCGCGACAGCGATGCGACGCGGTAACCGTGCGAGCGCTTCGTTCCCTCCTCGGCGATATTTACGCGTGTAGGCGTCTAATGACGGGTTCTCGCTTTGTGCACGCTTACGTCCCGTGTCGCGTCAAACCCCGCGGGAAGTGTCATCGTACAGGACGGAATGCGGAATGAAAGAATCCATCGGGACGTAGTCGCAAATTCCAGTCCACCTTCGCGAACGTCAAACATCGGGATCAACCGGATCGCGATCTTTGACCACCGGGACGATCCGTTGCTGCTTCCTTCGGAACCGATGCGAAATCAATCCAGGGCTTTCCTTTCGAGAGGATGATTTGTACAGAGGCTTGCAACGATTGCAAACGTAACGAAGAAACCGTTCGAGAGTGACCGGGACCGTCTTTTCATTCGGGGAACTAAAGGTCGCAAAAAAGTCATGAAACCGTGAAGCCCGGGAAGGGAGGGGAAGGGTCTTCGAGAGTGGCTCACGTTTCTCGGAGTTCTTTTTTCATTTCTTTAATCCAGCCGTAACGCTCTGACCAGGTAACTGTGTCAGGACTGCTGTGCCCGAGATCACCGACAGCGGCGATCGTTGCGCAACAAGGCGGAGCAAGCAGATCCACGAGGATCCGATGATCTAAGGTCTCGAGACGTATATACCTACGCTGCCTCCTCGATTTACTCGTCGTGCCTAGTTTCTCGGGCGTCTCGAGCAACCTAAAGCTAAGAAGTTAACCAGAGATTGACCCAGAAAGCTACAACTTGGATAAAGTTTCCTCCAAATATGGCGCACGCAAGGATGAGTAACTCGCGCGCGGAGACGATCATCATCGACCGATACACCTCTTAGCCTGGTTAATTACGCGCGCGTTTCGCGTTTCAATCGCTTGCTGTTCGCTCCACGCTCCTTTTGGACTCCCATCTGCTGTGGATTGGAATTGACTACGATTTGTTTCAAAAATTGATAGCCACCTGTCCGGAACGAAAAAAACGATGTCAATAGCTTTGATACTGGTAATGGTACGTATACAGTAAATACGTCTATCTTAGGAAGACCTTTTGATCAAGTGTCAACAATTGCGAGAATCGGTAAATAATTGTACACTCACGCGGGCAATAAATAAAATAAAGATTAAAAGTATCGATCGAGTGTTTATATAATCCAATATTTTAATCACAATTTGAACTTTGCAGAAATTGCCACGAGTATTAATCTGGCAGTCAACGTGTTAATGGCGATCGAGAACGCCCTCTTACCGATTTCATCGTACTGGATGGTCGAGAGCGACCGAGCGAGGACCGTGTAATCGATTTGGGGGACCCTGAACGAAACGGTACCGTGTCTGGCCCGGTCCTAGGGCAACCGGATCATTGTCGCGAAGCACCGAGAACCGGCAGTCAAGACACGCGTGGTAGGGAGGTGGTACAGTTGCGGAGGTAAATTAATGGTCCAAAAGCGAGCAAAAAAACCGGAGCGGGCCGACAGAGAACTTCCAATAATAATTGGAGCGGGTCCTTGAAAGAGAGGGTCGAAGGTGGACGAGCAGGAGGTGAAAACGTTGACGCAGCGTTAAAATCGGACCTGTCCCAGCGAAACTCGATAAAATCGAAACGAAAACGCGCGTACAGCGAATGGACCGACGAACACAATAGCGGCGCGTGGATGTCGTAGCGTGAATCGGAGCGGAGAGAACGATGATTTGTCGAAGGACCCAAAGAAATGACGATGGGATCGTCGAGGATAATGGAGAAGAGTAATTGCTTGGGCCGATCGGAAAAAATAATTGCTTTTACCAATCTTAACCCTTTACACTCGGATGTCTCTTCTGAGGAGTCATCGTAAGTTCAGCAAGCTTTATTAATGATTACACAAGATAAACTTGTGGGAGCAAAGGATTTTTTAATGTGTATGGTTTCTTGAAGGTTTCCATTCAAATATCAAATCAAAATATGTTGCATATATTGAGATATATTGTATAACAAATATGAGCTCATGCTATATAGAGACAGAATATGTGAATGTGTCACTCATTTTGTATCCTTATCAAGTACAAGCATCTACTACGTAGAAGCATACGTAGCCAAATCAAGTTTAACCAGCCATTGTTTTCGGTGCATTAGTCACGAATTCTCTGATCTAATCAGCAGGGAGAAAATCTCACCACGTGACGATCGTCGCCGATCGGTATTCGATTATACAGAAAATGAAATGAAAATAATGAACAAATAAAGAAAACTTGCGATACGATGAATTGGACTAGGTGGGGTGTCGATACAGTTTCAAAGGTGAATTGGCTCGCCGGGAGGTTACAGCGCGATTAACGATAGAGAGGAGATAGCGAGCGTCGCTAGCTGTTCCTCTCGATTTCTTCCTCCTTCAGCTCCGCACCTCGCCGCGGTGTGCACCAGGAGGTGGGAGGATTCCGGTGTGTCGGTGTCCACCAGGTAGGAGCTGATGCCACCAACACCAGCGTCGGCATTGGTATATTTTGTACATCGCGCTCTCTCGTTTCTCCCTTCGCGACGGTCGAAAAGAGGGAAGGAGAACGCCGAGGAGGAACCTAGCAGAGGAAACAAGCCGAGTTAGAAGGAGAGGCTCCTCGCCGCTACGGCATAAGGAAGAAGTGACGCGGGAAGCTGATGGCGAAAGACGAGGTGGGAGAGGGCAGGTCGCGTGCCGGCGTGGTGCTACTCCGAAGCTGATAGAGAGGAGAGCACTTACATACCTTCCCGACATCTCTCACGGTTAACACGCAGGGGAGCTCCTCGCTATCCCGACGCGCACACCTTCCTACCTTGATCGCACCAACGATCCACCCAGGTACGAACGTCCACCGTGTATGTTCCTCGTGGTTCACCTACCTACCTACCTACCTACTTACCAACCTACCCGCCACAACCTACGGGTTCAGTCTCCCCGCCCAGTCCGCGATACTCTTCGCTGTGTGCGCTCTCCTCGTCGCTCTTTTTCCCATCTTTTCCCTCTGTTCTACCAACTCGCGGCTCCCTCTCCCCCGTATCGCACGTACACACACTCCCCCACACCTCCCTGCCACTCCCTCTCCCTTTCCCTCTACCCTTGTGGTCTACTTTTCCCTTTTTCTCGCTCTCTCGAGCAGCGTTTCTCTCCTTTGCTCCGTCTCTCCCCCTCTGTACGGTCGCGCGACGCAGCTTTACTCACCGACATACACTCGGCTTACTCACCACCAGGTACACAGCTTCCCGTCGTCGTCGCGCCACGCCGTGCCTCGCCAAGATTTCCTCCCCACCTCTGCGCGGTTCGGTGAGCCACGACTCGCGGCGAGTCGCGTCTCACGAATCTCCTCGAGAGCGCTCGCTGATATTCCGCTTCGTCCACGAGGCAGCCCGACGGGGGGGATATCACACGCCTCGAGAGAGGACCTGGACAAGGAGCAACCAAACGATCGCCGGACGGTGCTGAGCAACGTGGTTGACTCCTTCCGTTTCTCCGCGCAGACCCGAACAACGAGCAGTCAGGACTCCGCTGTCCTGTCGACACGACACGCGATCGATCGGACGCACCGCGGGACAAACGGATCACGATCGCCTCCCTCCTGCGGAACAGTGGACGAGGATACCTCGGTCGCGCGTGCAAAAAGACCGATCCTGGATGGATCGCTGAAGATTCCTGCGTTTTTCTCGTCGACGACGATTCGCGCAGGGAGGACCGTCTAGTCATCCGAAACCAGTTAACGGAGTTAACCAGTCGAGGAATACCGTCGCGTCGATTCGGTGAGCCGATCGATCCCGGAAACGGCGCCCGCGCGTGAAGAACATTTCCCGCGTGAGATCGCAGAGAGCGAGGGACGCGCGTCGCGATCTGTCGCTCGAACACGTGCTCGCCACGAGGTACCGCTCGCGAGCAGAATCCACACGCGGATCCACGAAAGTTCGTCGGAGATGTTCGAACGGACGTTTCGATCAGGATACCTGTAACACACGGTCGAGAGGATCGATGAACGAAGAGGAAGAGTGCTCGAGTGTGAGGATAGTGTGCTGTTGTTGAAACAAGAGTGCTCCTTCCCCTGTTTCTCGTAGAATCGTGGTGAACTCGCTGAAGTTGCGCGTGAGAAGGAGAGGAGTAAAAGTAAAACGAAGTTCGCGAAGGAACAATCCAAGTATCGGGTGGGAAAGTGAGAACCGTTCGCCGCAAGTGCAGCCAGCTACCCCCGGCTTCAAGGTCGTGGAATGACGCATAAGGTAAAACCGATTTGTTTTTCTTCTCTTCCTCGTTCTCTTCCTTCCCGTGGCAAGAGTCCAGCAGCGACCGGTGCTTCTGAATATTTATGAGCCCGCCCCTCCGATCGCGTTCGAACCACGCCGTGTGAATCGAACGAACGACCACGACTAAGAAAACGCGGGAACCTGAAATTGATTGAGACGTTTCGACGGGGCTCCCTCGTCCGACCGCCGAAGAAATCTCGGTTCGTACTCCTGCGGTCTCATCCTTCAACTCGTCGCCCTTTTCAACCTGGGATCTCGTGTCTTCCTGAAACAGAATTTTCGATATACTCGATACGATACTCGAAAAAGGACAACTAATTAACTCCCTGATCTTGGGAGAATGTAAATTGAAACTAGAAACGATCCACGCTTCGCGGAAACATTACGTTCCATCGATTCGCGGAACGTCGATGATAAAAAGGAGAATGACAAATAGACCCATACATCGTTTTCCGTAACGCACGAGCGACGAACGCGTTTCACTCGGAACGGCACCTCCGGGGCATCTAATTCGCTCGGAACCAGTTTCGAAGCCACGCTTTGCGATTCCTCCGCTTGAAAAGTAAGCATCGCCCACGCTTGTCCTTATATCACCGAACGGTTCGTTCCGCTGCTGGGGCAACGAGACACCGCGAAAGCTATGTTCCCTGCGCGATTCTCCGGCGTTTCCTCGTTCATAAATTTACGCGCCTCCGGACTGGCGAGGGACTGCGCCCATTCGCGGGACCAAACGCGAGATAACCTCGCGCAAGGTGATCGCCCGTGCCAGACGTTATTTGTATCGAGCACATTTTCATCGGTAATTTTCGTATCGAACAGTGGTGGACTGGAATGACGAACATTGCGGTTGGTTGCATTGGACGTTATCGAATAGCATTGTAATACTTGGTACTGTTTGTTTACATCCGCGATGATCGGACCTCCACCTAACGTAACATATTGGAAACGGTTACTTTTACGATACATATTGCTAAAAAATTGTATCCTAAGAATTAGCAAGAAAGGGGTGGATTTCTCTAAAAAATTTATTTTCTAACATCGTTATCCTAATATATCCGAACATCTTGGAAACGGTTATTTTTAGAATACATGTTGCTAAAACATTGCATCCTAAAAATTAGCAAGGAAGGGGTGGATTTCTCTAAAAAAAATATTGATATGTTTAGAAACATGAAGGTCTTAAAAAAAAATGTAAATTGTCAATGAAAGCTTTCTTCTGATAATGTTGCCCTTTCGAAAAGGGATCTCGCAAAAAGGCGCGACATTCCTCGTAAGGCGTACAGAAGGAGAGCACGTGGTTCGCGATCGAGCAAGGAAACGATGTGCGGAAGATTCTCATGCTCTCGCAGGAATATTGGAGGATGCCGCATAAATCTTGCCAAAGTCGGTCGTCCGTCCGCTCTTAACGATCGAATGATTAAATGCCACGAATTCCCTGAACCGAGATACATTATTCATAGAGAAACAGGCCCGGTGTTCGATAGTGCACGCAGCACTTACGGGTTCCGAGGGCGCAGCAACGTTAACAGTTAATTGATAACAGGTAAGCAGCCAACGGCTGGACGAGGCGCCTCGATTTTTTGTTGTAGGGGCCACGCCGATCGAAATAGACCGACAACACCGTTACGTTCGCGCGGAACCAATGGGATCAGCGTTCTCGAGTTCTCCTCTTCGCGCGCTCCCATTATTTTCTTTCTTGCCGACCCGTGGCCACCGCCGCGACGCGATCGATTTTGCCATTAACGATTCCTCGCGGCTGTCTCCCTTATCTGCGTGCTAATTCACCGCGATCTTTTTCCACCAATCGATCTAACCGGTTATTTACCGTAAGTGGCAGAAAATTGATCCTAAAACACGCAATGTTGTATTAATTATTTATTAACAATTACAGTATTTTTCTTGAGAGCATACAAAGCATGCTTCTTGTTATCGCTTACAAAGTTACGTACATTACAGCCATTTCTTTTCTTTCGATAAGAAAATCTGTTATTATTTTCACGAGAGTCAAGAGAGAGATTTTCAAACGTTTTCGATGCGGAGTGCCTGATAGTAAGATCTTGAACAGTATTTTCAGAATACGTAACGCCTGTATTACCCCACAAGAATCCCTCGAAACGATCCGACGTATGCTCATTCTTCTGGTGCGTGTGTTCTACGGACAGAGTACCGCTCGAACTCGACAGTATTCCAAGTGCTAATTTTCAGGAGATCGTATAGATATAGTCGATATCGTCTTTCTTCTTCGCGATAATGGAAATCTGAATAGTAAGTTCTGTCGATCTCTGGGACTTAATTTGAATCGAATGCGACACGACGCGACGGTATCAAGCGGAGCAGAGTTGCGCGATCGGCTCCAGGTCGCTTCCCCATTTTTTTTTCCTTTTTTTCTCGATTGCCCAACGATCGCGATGCGTAAACGTGTGCCGACATTATTTGAATACGGCCACTATTACGAGAATGGAAAGACACGACAATCATGAGAGATTCCCAGAGGTTCGAACAATGTCCTCGACTGTGCACTGGCGCAAACGGTAATAAAACGGTTCCTGAACGACGACATCGTCCTCGAACGCTGTCTTTAAAGTCCCCTGTCTGTCATCGTGTTATGTTGTCATCCGCCAGCTCGGAACTCGTCGTTAAGTAGCGCTGCGTTTTCAACCCGAGGCGCTGTTCACCTCGACACCAGAAATTTCCTTCTTCGAATCCGTTTTTATTAATTTTGTGGTTGCTGTTCTGTAAAGGGAGACCGAGAGAAGGGAGGAAAGGAAGGAAGAGTTTCGTCCTGAGCCTGCTAGTGGACTCTAGCAGGCTTCTACAGATGCCGGGATGTTTAGAGAATTTTTGTTTGTTTGTTGGATTCTCTTGAATGATGCTGCGGTGCCTTTGGAGATTCCTTTGTAACCCGCTTTTCTCTTTGATTTTTAAGTCTATTTGCTTCTTGGAGTTAGTGTGGAGTCGATTCTTTTGTGTGTTGCAGGATAAAAAGTTTCAAAAAACCTGATAACAGTGAAATAAGAATAACTGAATTAGATTTGTTCCTGTAAAGTCACTTACCATTTTGGGAATCCTGAATCTGACATTGAGATGTTTGGAGGTCGGTCGAGAATGCTTTATATAGAAAAGTTAGGCATTTGTGAGAAACGCGCGGTGTCTCTCTAGTAACGAGAACAGGACGTGGCACCAAAATTTAAATCGTTAGATCAACGCTAGTCTTTCTTCCAACGCGACTCCACATTTCCATGTATCCACAAATCGTGGTCCAAGGACCATAGTTCGAGGAACACTCGTACGGTTCGCTCTGATTGACAAAATTTCCCGAGCGGTCGCGTTTGAATTCCGTACCAAGCGCTTCTATTACCAAGATCCGAGGAAAATGGAAATCGACTCGCGGAAACGACTCGAGCACGGATTGTTCGCTAAGTTGGAAGACTAAAGTTGGAACGGCTGAACTCGGGTAGAATATCACGTTTAACGAGAATTTATGCGTTCTTTTTTCTAGAAGACGCTCGAGGTTGTAAATGCAAATTCGACTCGACGGCAAGGAGGGACGGCGGATCTTCGGTGGCATAAAGCTGCTGCGTGGGCACGCGCGCACCGAGTATGTCTATTTATACGTCCGCGTGTACGCGTGCACAATAGGGCTCGCTGCTTTCAAATTAAATTCGAGCAGTATCGCAATGCCATTGTTAAGCTCATTGCCGTCGCCGAGACTCCACCTATCGTAGACAACCGACGCGCGCCCACGCTTTCCACTCGGAAAAAATTCGCAACCCCTAGTCGATCACGCGCTCGAGGACGAACTACACGTCGATGACTTCCAATTATGCTTTCAGAGAAAACGCCAGGCTTTCTTTACGCTTTACGTTACACGTAGCAAGCTTCCAAACGAGACTTTCTTTACACCGTAGGATTACGTAGTAAGCTTCCAAACGAGACCATATGCGAGAAGAGAACACGACAATGTATAAAGTTGGTTTAAACCGGCGCCGTTCGGCAAAGAATCATTTCGGCTGGAAGGCGGCACCGCTGTGACATTTTTACGAGCGCGGTGTAAACGTCCGACATTAGCATGGGCATGCAATTTTTTCGCGCCAGTTGATTTACAACCGACGGCGTTGTAAAAACGGAACCCGCGCCTGAACCAAATTGCACGTTTGCCAAACGTTCGCCACCTGTATATTCGCGGCCGTGAGCGATTCTCATTGAAAGCTGAGACGAAGAAATCGTTCGAAGCTAATTACCACGAAGACGACCAAATCTGTTTGCGAAGTGTTCAAAGAAAGCGCACCATCGGCGCTTTGTTCTTTTTCATCGTTCTCGGATTCGCGCTGGTGGCTCTCCTACCTTGGATCGTTCGATTAATCATGCGACGACGGCCTTGTTTGGAGGGTATATATGTCCGAACGGACACTAAAGAGACTTAGATTCTTATTAAAGAAAAAAAAGTAACCGATTGAAAAAAGTCCATGCATTTTCCATTTAAAACTTTCAAAGATTTTAAGTCACGTGCTAATGTCAAATTGAGAGCTCAAATTTTGTAAGAACCTTAGTCTATGTATTTGCAAGCTATTTGGGGTCTGCGTAACATAGATTTCAGGAATCATTAAAATAAGGACCACTTTAATATATACGCACACACACACACAGACGCGCGAAACATGAATTAAGACTGTTATGGTCTCTCTCATGGTCCGCTCGCGGGTTCAGTTTTCTCTCGAATCTCCTCGTTTACGTTCGTTCCGTAAATGATCGGCTACCGAAGACCTCGAACCGACGCGAGAACGTGGACCCGATTCGAGTTAATCGGTAGCCTAGCAATTTGGAAGTAGAACAGGTAGCCGAACACCTATTCGCTGGGAATCATCGGGCTTCCAGGAACAGTATCCATCCTCTCTTTTTCTGACCGTGAAGCGATCATCCGATGCACGGCCTCCAGTTTTTGCGGAGCTTCCGGGAGCTGTCCGCGGCGTTCGCAA